GAAAAAGCAAGGACACTGATGCAATTTTCCACCGATCCCGATCTCCCGTAATTGGCCCAACCTTCCCAACTTAGGACCCCTCATTGCAACCGCGCCGAAAGTCGCGCGTTACAGAAAGTGGTTCGTCACATATGTGATGCCCAGGGGGTTCCAATATTAGCAAGCTCCTGCTTGCTTGTTGACAAGTGTCGATTTCTCTAATTGACTGACACGCGGAGCATCTCTCTCTATGCCACTTACCGTTCAATTGAGTGTGGACGTCGTCCAACGTGGCAACACTGCTCTTCTACTAATTCCTCAAGGTGGGCTTTTGACATTCCAAGGAGGGGGATTATATGTGCCTCCGTTATGACACGTGTCCACTAACCATGCATCAGCGCAAAAAAGAGGGTAAACCCTAGATGTTTCCGGGGAATGGCAGTCGAATCATCGAGGGTGGAGGTGGCGGATGGTTCAGGGGGAGAGGGGGCATGAATCGATTGATGGCGGGAGAGGCGAAATCAGGAAGGGTAGCGTAGTGGAAGGAGCGATGGATGCGGGGGAAGTGAGGGACCTCATGAAGATGGCGAAAAGCGGCGATGTAATTGGGGTAAATGGTGGAAAGGGTCCGTCGCAGGGCGGCGCGAAAATCTTCGTAGTTTTCGCAGGCGGGAATAGTTCCAGATATTATACAGTATATTTCTACGTGGTTATATTCCCGCCAGTCTGCGCTACACAGGAGCACATGAAGGAGAAAGGAATCAACCACAGAGCAGGTGGTGGCATGCGGATAAACGGAGGCTAGAAGGCGGGTAGCGTAGAGATGGTAGAAAAGGTGATGGGGGAAAGGACACCAATCATCAGGGAACGGGGGTCTATCGGGAAGACGGGTAAGCATGAGGTAGTGACGGGGTCGGCGAGAGAACGACCGGGGACGAAGCCCAAACGCCGAGATCTTGATGTAGATGAATGGAGGATCGGGACGGGGAGCCGGAGGGAGCTGGCGATTCACTTCTTCTTCTTCTTCTCCGCGATCCCTCTGCTGCGGTTCCATCGTCTTCTTCTTCAGGCGGCTCCGGATCACGCCACGGATCCCCGATCGATGAAACGTTTGCCGTGGGTTGCTTTCCCTCCGCAGTCTCCCGACGCTTTCGTTTCCTCTGCTCTTCCTCCTCTTCGTTCTTTTCCTGCGACTGGCTCGATCCGCCGGCTATCCCCGCTTCTCTTTCCGGGACGTAGTCTGGATCGTCCCGTTCTTCACTCGATGGCTCTTCTTCTTCCTCCTCTTCGTCTGCTCCCCCTATCTCCTCGTCCTGCGCCACGTTTCTCCAGTCAAAAACACCAGCAACTCGTCCGTGATCAAGGTGAGATTGCCCTCCCCCACTTTCCCGAATACGATTCCCAGCAGATCGCCCTGCTCCGCCGTTCTCCAGGCTTGGATGATCAGAAGCTCCACGCTGTCCTCTGGGTGTTCTGGTCCTTCTCTGAACGGGGCCGCTTCTGACCAGCGGAACTCTATCTCCAATAGACAGAAGGCGAGTTTGATGTAGTCCTCCCACCACGCGTCCCACTTCTCTTTGCTCAATAGCGGCGCACTGTTCTCCTTAATACAGTAGGAGAGAGTAGGGGCCCGCGTAGACTGCCAAAGGGTGGGGATGCTGGAGGGGAGGACGAAGTAGGAGACGCGTCGATGACTCACTGGGGCGGCGCAAAGGGACGAAGCTCCGGAAGCATGATCGCTGGCGAGCGTCGAGACGAGCGGAGCTGGAAGTCCGTGTCATGCGCCGGCACGACGGCATCTCCTTGTTGAGCCAGGAGATCGGTCCACGCTGTCTGCACTTCCCCGGCCCAGACCCGCAACGTCCGATAGATGTCGGAGTGAATCGCTGGTGGGATCGCTGTGATATCTCCTGTAAAGATGACGACGACAGTGATATGGCTAATCCCGGGGGGGGATAGCCGTCACAAGGCCGAGATCTCAGCCAAAACGTGCGTAGTTGCCTCCTCCGTGAATTGGAACTCTGCCGCCACGTAGATCGCCGCTGTGCTGAAGAAAGCTGCGAACCGGAGGAGATCAGAGTAGAGATCGGCCCGCTGCACCTGTCGTATGACGCTGACTCGCCCCCGCGGAGTAAGAAGCCACGCGCCGATCACTTGCTCCGTTGCAAAGCTCCTGGCGATGGTGATGGGGTAATAGAGAAAGAACAGGAAGGAGACGGAGAGACAGGAGAGAGGTAGTCGTCGCCTTCCTTCGCAGTGGAGGAGGAATCGAATGAATGCGAAGATGGAGAAGAAGGAAGGGGACGAAGATAGGACACGTGGCGGATGATCGGGCGAGTCGATCGGCTGTCGGAGACCTCAGGCGCGAGTCGCATGGTGTTCACGCCGTTCGGTCCGAGTTCGATCACACGAAATCGCCCGAAGAATCGTGGCGCTAGCTTACCCTGGCAAGCATATTTCCTCACCTGCACAATATTCCCTAATTTGTATTGGGGTCGTGGGCCTGCGTTCCCATTCCGGGCCTCGTAGCTTCGGACCTGTCGGCCTTGGGCCAACTCAGTCATTCTGTGTCGTTTTAGGGCTAGCTTGGGCAGGGATCGTTCCATTAGTTCCAACTGTCGTTTGGCCTTGTCCCAAGCCGTGGCCATGGTGGGTCGCCGGTTCAGTGTAGACTCATCCTGGAGGCTTGGTATCGAAACGCAAGCGACGCTATTGGTCATTAATTGGAAGGGGCTTAGCCCCGTTGATTCATGAGGTGTACCGTGATGGACCGCCAGGATGTGGTCGACGATATCGGGCCAGGGCCTCGGATCCCGTGCCGCGATATTTCGTCGCAACGCTATCTTTATCACCCTGTTCGCGTTTTCTACCAGCCCATTGGACTGTGACATGTGGGGTGCAGTGTTCCGTATGGTGATGCCATGTATGACCAGATTCCTTAGTACCTCTCCTCTAAATTCAGCCCCGTTATCGGTCAGGATCTCTTCCGTATCCTGGTGCATCCCGAGAAAGCGGTTGACGTACCGCGCGATTTCGGCGGCTTATCGCGTGCGACAAGGATAGGCCTCGATCCATTTCAAAAAGTGGTTGACAAATACCAATAGGACCGAATACTCACAACTATTAGGACCAGGGGGCACCACTATGTCGGTAGTATCCATGCTGACTCTTTGAAATGGTCGTTCAACTACCGTTGGCACTATCGATCTTGGCGGCTGAATCGGCGCCTTATCAGCGGCGCAGACTTGACAGTTGGCGACGATGTACTTCACATCGTCGCGGATATTGGACAAGTACCACTCATTTTTGTCGATAGCCGACTCCGTGATCCGTATGGCAAAATGAGCCGTAGGTTCTTCATGTGCCGTCTTAACCCAGTCATACCTCATGAACGGATGCGGTACAACCATCCAAATCCCAGTGCCGTCTGTTTTCCGTTTTTCTAATCTTCCCTTTATCCATCCGTAGTCCCGAGCCCTCTCGTTGGCCCTCCTCCGATCTTCCTTGGTGAAATCCTGGAGGGAGTTACCCACTAAGGTGGCAATCAAGGCGATATCAGTCCATACTTCGGCCCTTCTAAACTTCCGGGTCTTTTCCAACCCTTCTAACGTGGCATCCAAAAAGTGAGCCTCGGTTGGAATCTTGTTAGTCCGACACAAGGGGCACAACCACGGTTTACTGTCGTTTCTGTATTGGATGCACGAGCCATGGGCTCGTGCGACACACTGTCGACAATCTATCCAATCCGCATACCCTTCCCCGTTAGGACGCATTGAGACCGAGTACACGCGGGAGATGGCTTCACAAAAATAGCAAAATTTGTCAGGCAGGGAGAGGAGAGACGAAAAGGAGAGGGGAGAAAGAGGGGTAGTGGGGTTACCTCCATCACCCATTGTCACCGTTCTGCTTCTTGCCACGTAGAAGAACTGCCACTTGTCCGTACTTGGGCTCGTTTGTCAAGTCCGGCTCCTTCCACCGTGTAATTTCCTCACCCTTTGGTACTTTAGCAGGTTGATGCATACTTATCAGTCCGTCTGCGTTGCCATGTCGCTCTGTCTTTCGATAAACGATATCGAAGTCATATTCTTGAAGTCGCACCGCCCAACAACCAATCATGCCCGTGTAATTAGTGAGTTTTTTCAATGCCAGCAGAGGTTCGTGATCTGTTACGAGGCGAAACTTATGTCCCTAGAGATATGGATGGAAGTGCTGGATTCCCCAAACCACTGCATAGCATTCGCCTTGAGGTGCTGAGTCATTCCTCCGTTCGTCCGGTACNTGTCCCTAGAGATATGGATGGAAGTGCTGGATTCCCCAAACCACTGCATAGCATTCGCCTTGAGGTGCTGAGTCATTCCTCCGTTCGTCCGGTACCGTGCGCGACGCGTACTCGATGACGTGTTCACGACCATCGTTCCCCTTCTGCGCTAGAATAGCAGAGATAGCTTCCGGTTGCCAGTCTGTAATGAGAATGAACTTCTTCGAGGGGTCCGACCGAATCAAAATAGGGGCCGTTGCCAGAGCGTCCTTGAGGGTCGCGGAGGCCTGTTGGCACTCCGTGTCCCAATTGAGAGGCTGGTCCTTCCGTAGCAGGTTCGTCAATGGTCGTGCAATCGCGGCGAAACCCTTGATGAAGTGACGATAGTTCGATGCCAACCCTAAGAAGGCTCGAACCTGCGTTAGCGACGTGGGAACTGGGGCTTCTCTTACCGCCGCAACCTTTCTTGAATCCGGCCGCAGTCCCCCACGTGTCACGACGTAGCCCAAGAACGAAATTTCCAAGAGGAAAAACTCGCTCTTCTCGAGCAAAATCTTGAACCCGGCGTCTCTCAGCGCTCCCAATGTCCACTCGATGTGTTGTGCGTGCCCATGATAGGCCTCCGAGTAGACAAGGATATCATCCATGTACACGATCACGCAGAAGTTGATCATCCCCTGTGTTAACCGCGTCTTGTTGACGAAGTTCTGGAATGTCATATTCATCGCTCACTGAAACGTGGCAGGCGCGTTGCAAATCCCCATCGGACAACGAACCCACTGCCATGTGCCCTCAAACAGTACAAAGGCCATCTTGGGCCGATCTTCCTCCTTCACCAGAATGTGATGGAAGCCATGCCGAATATCAAACTTGCTGCAATAATTAGCGCAACCAATCGCATCCAACAGTTCATCACTTCGGGGGAGGGGATACACATCTTTAATCGTGATTTCATTCAACTTGCGATAATCGATGCATATGCGAATTGATCCATTTTTCTTCTGCACTAGCACTACGGGAAATGACCATGGTCCGATGGCGGGTTCAATCCACCCGCTAGCTTCGAATTTTCTAATTCGTTCGAGAGTCTTTTTGCGATCTATTAGGGAGTATCGGTACGGCTTGCAATGGATCGGGGAGTGATTCCCCGTCTGTATTCCGTGTTGAATAGCTAACAACAGGCCAATGTCAGTATCCGTTACGCTAATCGCTCCCCGATATTCCGCCAAAATGTCCGCAATTAATCGATGAATCTCATCGGGTACGTACTGTGGCATGTGTAACTCGTTGGTCCCCGATCCGTACATCTATCTGTTTGGTGCATGCAGGTTTTGCCACATCGAGTGGGGCTGCAGAAATGGAGGAGTGATCCGATCGCCAGGAGAACACTATGACCATCATCTGGGCGTCTTCTTCCCGAATGGCCACGTGTCCCACCGGGGTGATTCTGTCACAGACATCCTGCCATGGTACGGTTCTAGTCACAATTTTTACTCCAAGTTCGTCCGAGTCAGCTTCGAGGCGCCCAGGGGGTTCCAAAGAACTTGCTTCTGCCCCCAAGCGTAACAGTCGCACTTCTTTCGCAGGTGTCAAGAGGGACCTTGGTAGATCCGTAATGTCGCAGTAATGTTTTTTGTCGCTGTATCTGCCGAGAAGCAGGGTGATCCCTTCGTACAGGGTTTGAGGGGGTTCCAAAGAATCGACCATCCTAGAAATCTGCACGAGGGGTTCACCCAAGGTCATCGCCTTGGTCCTTTGAATGTTCCGACTGGTCAGATGCATCGTTCTTGCTATCGTTCTAGGTGCTGGGTAGTAAACACGCTGTCGTGCGAACTTCGAGATTTTTGGATCGTCCTCATCACTGCTGTCCGCATCATTCGTTGATGACTCCCCATCCGCGGATTCATCCCAGGGGATGATACAGAGAGTCCCTGCCATCATCGGCGAAACCCGTGGGACCGCGTTGATGGTGGTATGAAGGGTTAGTCTCATAGGCACAGCATAGGGTTTTCCTCCCGTATTTCGGAGGACGATCGACCGTCGTTCGAAATCCAGGTTTGCTCATAATGCCACAAGAGCAGGAAGCCGAAAAGAACGTCGTAGGTATTTACATCTAGCACGACGACATCCCCTAGTGCGTGCACCTTTCCGAATCGGAAAGCGACGTTGGTCATCCTTCCCACCGTTTTAATTTTTTCTTCGTAAGCCAAAACGAGCTGATCTTTCTCGGAGAGCATGATCAGATCGTTTTTCCTACCTGCCCTCTCAACCACTCTCCATGAGATAGCCAAAACGGCAGCTCCCGAATCGATGATTGGAATTCCCAAAATTTTGATGTCGCATTCCCCGGATTTCCAGGGGATGGGTTTAATCCGTAGGAAATTATCATCTTTCTATATTAGTCCGATCCGTATTGGATTTGACGTGCCAGTCGCGTTTTCGTCTGGCGTGGGACTTTTGGCTTTTACGTTCGTGGTTCAGGCGAGGGCGAATCGTTTCCGGTCCGCCTTGCAGTGTTGTAACATCCGCTCATTAGCTTGTTTAGAGATCGAGAGTAGATGGCCGATAGGGAGTGGAATCCAGTGGTCCAAGGCTCGAACGATGTTAAGCACATCGATTTCCCCAGTGACGAAGGTGGGTCCTCCCGACTCCACCTCACCTGGAGAAGGTCGCCACTCCGCCACTTCTTTTTGTTCTGGGGCCGGTCGGATTGTTCCGATCATTCCAAGTCCGGGATACCCAAGCGATACATATTGATCTAATGGGATGAGCTCGGCGGCTTCTTCCCTACCCTCTGTTTCTTCCATCAAAGCGCCTACTCCTCCTGGTCCGTTAGCGATGGGAGCCGCCGCCATCGGTGCAACCTCGACTCGTTGTTGCGGAGGCCGGTGGGGGCAGTCACGGGCTAGATGCTCTAGTTGATGACATGCATAACAGACATTCAGATTGTTTGCGGCTCCTCCGAGAACCGGCGCAGGGGCCAGCCCTTGTTGAACCAGAGGGGCACGCACTGCAGTGGGCCGCATGTTTCTCATCATAGCTTCTATTCGAGCATTATGCTCCCCCTGTTCTTTTTTGCTTTCCTGGATCAAGATAAATAGCGTTTTAGTGAGCTCAAAAATGGCTGCAAAGTCATTCGATCTCACAGGGTTCTCGACTGGTGGCGGGGGTAACGCCCTTACAGGTGCTAGTATCACCGGAACAGGGACGCTCGGAATCTCACTTGGGGTTAGTCGTTTGGGTCCTATCTGCTCCAGATAGGTGACGGGACCTAACACAAATCCCATGTTTTCGAACTTGTTTTGTAATGCAGCCAGCTCAGCTCTCGCCGTCGCAAGTTCGGACGAATCTCCTTCCCTGGAATAATCTTTTTCCTTCCAGGAAGTTCGCCTCGAACCTCCGTTCCATTTCTTCCGCAGCAGCCATGATCTGTTGCAGCGTGTGAGTGATGGGGGAAAATTGCTTTCGCAATTTAGCTCTTATTTTTCGGCTGCGAAGACCATCTATAAACAAGTCTCTCCCGACTTGTTCGCCTCGCTCAGTCTTCACAAACATTCGGTAGAACCGGTTTCAATACTCTGCAACGGATTCAAGAGGTTTTTGCACTCAGTCCTTGATCATGTAAAGCACTTGCTCGGGGTGAACATAATCAAATCGATTCATGAAATCATGTTCGAAGGTCGGGAGATCAACCCATACGTAGGTACTAAACCAATGATGAGTGTCTCCTCCTAACCGAGCAAGAATGTTTATCTGTGCTTCGTGATCATCATACCGCTGCGCTCTAAGCGTGACCAGCCATGCTCCTGCGAGATGATGTGCTAGATCGAATAGATAGAGATCAGGTGGCGTCATGGGAGCCCTTGCTCGTGGGGTGGGTTGATTAGGATTTGGTTGATTAGCAATTTGTTGTGGATTCGGGTTCTGTACATTAGCTGATCTGCTTCGGGTGATGATAGGGTCGCGTCTATGCGCGTTCTGGGGGCGAGGCCGCCCTCGATTAGCCAGATCGCCTAATTAACGTGCTATCGATCCTAAGACCCAGACACGTGTCGAGCTCCGATACCAACCTCACGCCCAACGCGACTTCCTGATCGGAGTAGGTTGGGGGCCTGGAAGTGTGAAAAGGGGTGTGCCAAGGATTTTTGGGAAAGTGGAGTCCCAGGTCGGAACTGAGATCTCCTGTGACAGGGTCTTTCGGGGGCACGAGTGTAATTTGGCAGAGAGGGCGTGTTCGGGTTACAGGGCAAATGGTATGCGCAGGTCGCTCAAGACCGAGCGAGCCACTGGTTTCGGGGACGGTGGTTCGCGGGCTGGTCCCTTCGGGGTAGGTGGGATTCCGATGAGCCTGTCTGTCGGGAGTTGCCACGTGGCGCTGGTCGGAGCGCGTTCGGGTTACGTCTCCGGAACTCCGGCGTTCTGTGATTGCCGCATCGTCGGCAGTTCTCGCAGGGTGTGCTGGGCCAGTAGGGGGCTATGGCCGGCCACGGAATGACGCTGAGTTGATGGTACATAAAATAAGGTGAAAGGGAGGGCAACTGGTGGTGATGACGACAAATCCGGGGTGGATGAAGTAATAGGTATGGTCCGGAGAAGGGAAATCAGAACACCGGGGGTCGCTAGAGGTGGCGCAGTGGAATTCCCGGGGACACAGTCGATTCTCAGTGTGGCAGGGGTACCTCTGCCTCAGGATTTCGTTTATCCAAGGGGTGAAGTAACCCGGGTCGTATGATGAGTCAGAATTCCATGATCGCGTCATCGTATCATGGCGGTATGATGAGTTGCCTCAGGGCGGATCCGTGGTGATTGCGGTCGCCGCGTGCGAGCACGTGCAGGCTATGCGAAGGGCGCGGGACGACTGCGCCGCTGCGGATTCCGGGAAGGTCGTTCCCAATTAGGTAGGGCATCGGCGATCGACGGTCTCTGACGAGTCGACGCCCGGGGATACGAGTAAGCGCGCAACTCAAATCGCGTTTTACACGTGTCCTCGTGGCATCCGATCTTCTAATTACTCCGTGATGTTCTGAGTATGCAAGATGCAACGATCACAACAGCTCAATCAAAGGACAAGCAAGACAAGGACAGGATTATCGATTGCGCAAAATTCCTATTCTACACACGAGTGCATCGAATGCGACAAACAAAAAGCAAAGACAAGGATCCGGTAGAAAGATAAGCGATCAATCATGACATCCATACGTCCATACATCCATACATTCAACAATCATACACACAGTGCCTGGGAGGTGGGAAAAATCGCAAGGACAAGTGTGAGCAAAAACCCAAGTCCAAATTCCGACAAGCAAAGATTGGGCAAACCGCCCAGAGCCGAAATCAAAACTTATATACACGAGACAGGAGGGAGAAAAGATAAAGAAAACAGCAACTCTGCATCCATCAACCTCAACTCTCTCTCTTCCTCTCTCTCTTCCTCTCTCTCTTCTTCTCCGATGCGGACAGTCCATCGTCGCGCACGAACCCACGAAGCCGTCACCCCGCTTAGTCCTCCCCCACCCGTCAGGTTCGCCCGCGCCCACAGTCCGTCGTGGCCCGCGTCAACCCCGCGCATTGGGCACCTGTTTTACTCACCTCTTACTTCGCTCGTGTGCCGACCCTTCCTGATCCCGCAACCCCAAGCTTCCAACAACTGGTTAAGAGAGTTAACTAATCGCGCAGCCGGAATTTATAGCGTGCATGCATGAGCGAAGAATACGGAATTACAAGGACTTAGAAGAAGGGAAGGGGGAGGGATTGCCTACGTCTGCATGGTCTGATCGCGGCGTGGGGGACGTAGCCGCTCTCCACGCATCGGTCCGATCATGCAGATCGCGGCTACCAAAAACGTAGCAAGAGAAAAGAGAAGAAGGGCGGGAAAGATGAAGCGCAAGAAGAAAGATACAGTTACAATGTAACAATGGCGCCCGCCCAAAATTACAGTTACACACACGATTAAAGGCGCCTACTAATCAGAGTTCCGTTACAGCCGCATGAAGAACCGCGTAGACAAAAAGTGCCGCGCGGCAAGAAAAAAATCCTAATTACAAAATTTCTAAAGTCCTATCTAATGCGAAGAAGCAAAAAGTGCAAATTCTCGAAAGTTCGAAATTCCGAGAGCCATCGAGGCTCGACAAGATCCGAAAAAGATTTAAAAGAAAAATTCAAAAAGGACGAAGCAAATTCCCGCGCGGTGTTTGCGCCCAAAAGTTTGGAATCCGGAACAAAAGAAACGACGTCAACATTTATTAATTGCGCGCGCGGTGGCTCGCCAGCCATTCGGTCAACCAATCAATCAATTGGTCGTCCTAGGACGCACCCAGCTCCGAACCCAGTCATTCGAAAAGAAGCGACGAAAAAGACGAAAAAGCAAGGACACTGATGCAATTTTCCACCGATCCCGATCTCCCGTAATTGGCCCAACCTTCCCAACTTAGGACCCCTCATTGCAACCGCGCAGAAAGTCGCGCGTTACAGAAAGTGGTTCGTCACACTCCTCCTCCCCCTTGCTTGACCTCCTCCTCCCCTTCACACGACTGTCTCCTCCCTCTCATGTGTCCTCTTCCCAACTCCTCATCCCCCTCACACGGCCTGCTCTCACGCGTCCGCCGTCGTCTTCCCACCTCCTCATCCCCCTCGCGCCACCTGCTCTCACACATCCTCTTCTCACCTCGGAGTCCTCATCCCCCTCGCGCAACCTTCTCCCACCTTTCTTACCACCTCCTCATCCCCCTTGTGCGACCTGCTCTCACGTGTCCTCTTCCCACCTCCTCATCCCCCTCGCGCAACCTGCTCCCACCTTTCTTCCGACCTCCTCCTCCCCCTTGCACGACATCTGCCTCCCCCTCGCACGACCTCCTCCTTGCACGGCCTCCTCCTCCCCGTCACACGTCCTCTTCCAACCTCCTCCTCTCCCTCGTGCGACCTCCTTCAAACTCTCTTCAGACCTCCTCAACTTGCCCGATGTCCTCCTCCCCCTCGCAACCTCCTCCTTGCCCCCTTCCCAGCTCCTGCTGTGTGTGTGTGTGTATGAGAGAGAGAGAGCTCACGACAATCTTTCTCCCTCGCACATCCTCTTCAAACCTCCTCCTCTCTCTCTCTCGTGTGACGTCCTCCTAATTCTTTTCCGAGCTCCTCCACTTGCACTATGTCCTTCTCCCTGTTGCAACCTCCTCCTTCCCCTCTTCCGACCTCCTCTTCCCATTTGCACAACCTCCTCCTCCCCTCGCACAACCTCCTTCTTCCACTCTCGAAAGTATGTGTGTGTGTGTATGAAAGAGAGAAAGCGAGCTCACGGTGATCGTTCCCCCTCGCACGTCCTCTTCCAACATCCTCCTCTCCCTCGTGCGACCTCCCCCAAACTCTCCTTTGACCTCCTTCTCCACTTGCACAATGTCCTCCTCCCCCTTGCAACCTCCTCCTTCCCATCTTCCAACCTCCTCCTCCCACTTGCACAACCTCCTCCCCCCCCTCGCGTGACTTCCTCCTCCCACTCTCCAAACGGCGCCCCAATGGAAGCACGCAAAAATTCGCACCCCCGACATCCGCACTGTCCCTTACACTGTCTCTTATACACATCTAGATGTGTATAAGAGACAGTGTCCCTAGAGATATGGATGGAAGTGCTGGATTCC